AATCGATAGTAATATTGCCTTTGCATTAGGGTTTCTATTATTTTATATACAATTATATATTTTTATGCATGTCTTGCGAGTGAGAAGATGATGAGCCTCTCTCTCTCTCTCTCTCTCTCACTCACTCACTCGCTTACTCTCTCCCCTTTCTCTCTCATGCTCTCTCTCCCTCTCCCATACAATGGTGAGCACGAAATTGTATTTTAGAAAAAATGATAAATTCATACATAAAATAGTTATAATACGTTTGATTCGCATGTTTGATACCGGAGCGCCAGTATATGCTTGTTATGTAATGCCTTTCCCCTCTCATCCCGGTGCACATACATAACAACAAGTGTTTGTGTGTGCAGTGTTAGCCCTAATCAATCACCCGTCCAATTGAATGTCAGATAAGTTAACTTTTTTTTGCTCCGTATATCAAGTACTTGTTGTTTCACTAAACAAAAGTCAAAAGTGGTCTCTCTTTTTGCATCTCCTATTGCATGAGAACTAAATCTCTCTCTCTCTCTCTCTCTCTCTCTCTCTCTCCACAAGTATCCCAATGTGGGACAGGGGGTGCCAATGAATATCCAAATATCCAATAAAAGATCATAATATTTCAATAATATGTATGATTTATTTCCTTAATATTAGGTCCGAGTTTTGTTTGGAAATTAAAATATTTTACATTCATATCAAAATCGTTTCGGTTTTTCTCAAATCCTTATAGTCTGTGAGAAAGCCTTGCGTTTGATTATGTAGTCATTCCTTTCCTATCTGTGCTCGTCTTCATTCATATCGTGAATTATAACTACGAGAGAGAGAGAGAGAGAGAGAGAGAGAGAGGGAGAGAGAGATCTAGTTTGTTTGAGAGCCTTTTTACGAAAATCACGATTTTCCAGATCATTATTAAGATGTCAACAAAATAAAAAATATCTAGACTAGCGCATTATAAAACACTTAATAATGATCTGGAAAATCGTGATTTTCGTAAAAAGGCTCTCTCTCTCTCTCTCTCTCTCTCTCTCTCTCTCCACAAGTATCCCAATATGGGACAGGGGGTGCCAATGAATATCCAATAAAAGATCATAATATTCCAATAATATGTATGATTTATTTCCTTAATATTAGGTCCGCGTTTTGTTTGGAAATTAAAATATTTTACATTCATATCAAAATCGTTTCGGTTTTTTCTCAAATCCTTATGTGAGAAAGCCTTGCGTTTGATTATGTAGTCATTCCTTTCCTATCTGTACTCGTCTTCATTCATATCGTGAATTATAAGATTATTATATTCACTACGAGAGAGAGAGAGAGAGAGAGAGAGAGATCTAGTTTGTTTGAGAGCCTTTTTACGAAAATCACGATTTTCCAGATCATTATTAAGATGTCAACAAAATAAAAAATATCTAGACTAGCGCATTATAAAACAAGCTAACTTTCCCCATTGCTATTGCCTTAAAAGTGCATCACATTTTACATGCTATGTTATACAACAACATACAACCAGAATATACTGTATAGCTTTATACAGTAAGACTATTGTGCCGTACATTTCATACATGGGATGCGATTTGATATGATTTGCAATCTCTTATGCTTTTATAAAAATGAAAAACATATTTCTCTCACTCTTTCTTTCCATACGTGTATTGTATTGTTATTTTCAGTTATGTTTATCAATGAGTACTCATTGTTATTGTGTTTCACTTCTCAATATCTCTTTCCCATTATTTCTCTACCCTTTTGTTTGCATTTCCTGCATATTTTCAGCGCATATCGTAAAAACTAAAACATAAAATAAAACACATTTTTCGTTAATTTTGTGTTATTTTCTATGAAAAGGATTTATATTTTTAAACATCAAATACATCTTTAAAAGATTATTATTTTATTTTTCTAATTTATATTAAACTTTTTCGGTAAAGACGTATGAATGCCATAATATTATCCACAAATTGAAATTAATATGCCTCTATAAATACATTTAATTCGCTTATTTTAGGCATTTTGTGAAAAACGTGTCTATAATAGCAAATTCTTGACGTCTATTTCCATGTGCTTCGAGTGGAAAGGTATTAAAAGATAGGAAAAACTTGCGTTAAAAATAAAACTTTATTTATATATCCAAGCGATGAGTATATTTATGAAAGGATAGTACAGTAACTGTTAGATCGGAATATTCTTTAATACCGGCGCTATTATTAATCCAATTATGTTTACGTCAAAACACATGCAAGTCATGTGAATGTGATTATAGTCGCTGTCGATAACCATATCTCTTAACTTTATACGATAGGCGCAGTAACCCTTTTACTAGCTATCAGGTATAATATTGGAAATCGTGCATCATATAATAACTTTACTTGTCCATAGCTATAATTATAGCTGATAGGGTTACTCGCGGATAGCATATTTCAATTCTCTATAAATTAGGTCTCTCTCTCTCTCTCGCTTTCTCTCTCTCTCTCTCTCTCTCAATGATAACTAATGTTTTCTAATCTATTGACTGATTGTCGTCATTAGCCATTCATTTGTTTGGATTCACTTAACTATTAATACAATAACCCATAGAAAACTTGAAGTTTTTTATATATAACTCATACACCTATTAATAGATACATTAATAAATAATAAATTTTATTCTTTACGCCACTATTAATAGCCATTCATTTATAAGTTATTAACAGTTGTGTGGATACCGAGAACCCAGAGTTTGGAAAAACAATTAACACTTAATAACAAGGTATTAATAACACAACACAACACACACTATAAATATATTAATATAATAGCACTTATCGATAGTAATAGCGAATGAGTTGTTTACTCATAAATAACTAATTTCTTACGGAATAAAAGACATTTGAGATTTGACTCCTTATTTTGATTGATCATGGTAGATATGTGTATATTTTTATGTCCAGTTCCTTGTCACCACATGGATTCTCTATGTACTCTACTATGTACTAATCCTTTGTTATTGCAATTGTCAACTACTCTCATTGCAATTAATTGATAATTTTGTGTGTATAGAATATTCTGGGTATATATTAGAAAAATAATCTTGTCTCTCTGTCGACTATTTATTTATTTACTTATCTACTAAAAGGCTTACAACTCAATGGTATTGTTTGCCTGTATATTCTGTGCACATATTTATTATTCTGTGTGTATATAACATGCATTTATATCGATATATACCGTAAACAGTGTTTTTAGTAGTCGTGTTGTTTGTGTCGTCGAGTCCTTTCGGAAACTTTTTATTTGTTACTCTTTTTAACAGCACTTTGAACGTCACTTTGACGTCAAATCAAATGTAAGGTAAAACTCGACACTAAGCCGACTGTCAAAAGACGAGAGAGAGAGAGAGAGAGAGAGAGAGAGAGAGAGAAATACGATATATAATCAGTGGAGTGTATTGAATCAAAACGAGTAAACATTTTACTCGTTTACATCTAAATTGTTTTGCCTTTTTTTCAATATCCATTCAATTATTTGTAACTCTTTTTTATAGGAATTAAAATTAAATGTTCAATTCTTGTGTATTTTTCTCGTTACAAATAAAAGTCTAATAAACAGTACTGTATAACAAATCCACATTTTAAAGCATTTATTTTGTTTCGTGTCGTTTAGTTGTTACACGAATTCATATATGAATTGTTATGTATTTGTTAATACATTAAGTAGTTTTGTTTGTATTATTGTATTTCAATTTGTATTTCATGTCTATTATTTGTTCAATAGATTTATGTTTTTTAATTTCAGTGAGTAATTACTTTTTTCAAAAACACAATTCATTTACAACAACAAAAAGCACAACAATATTATGATGTTCTTTGTTACATAAGATTTCCCTCTCAATTAACTTTCATTTAATTTGTTTATTCATTTAGACATAAGATTTAGATATTAAATCTTATATTTTGACAAAATTGAGTTAATCTCTCCAAGCTAATCTTAATGCTAGATATTAGACATTATAAACATGTATATGTTTTTACATTCGTTTGATTCACATCTATATGGCATTAGAGATAATAATTAGTTTCAAAACATAAGCTGATTTACTGTTGAGAAATGAGAGGATTATTTTGTAATAAAAAATTTAATTAATTTTTTATGTCACATAAACACCGGTAAAGCATCCGGAATATTATATTCCAGAATATTCTTATTATTCAATAAATGTTTTAAATAATATTCATGTTTTTTAGTTAACTAGCATATAAAAAATATTTTTATTATTAATCGCTTTGTTTTTAAACTATTTCTCAGAATATTGAGAAAAAACAGAAATATTCAATACATTGAACAATATTTACATTTTTTGTGTGCTTAGAAAATATGTGTACTAATAAAATGCTAAGAATTTCGATGTCATTTAGAAATTTATGTATATTTTTAGTCTTAGTGTTTGTGTGTGTCTTATGACAAAACCGCTAAACGTATGCAAAACACGCGTTGATATTACGTAAAGAGTTTACGTTTGAAACAAAAATATATTCTGTCATTAGAAATGTATTTTGGGGTTAAAAACAACTACGAAAATGTTTTTATACAGAATCTCTCTCTCTCTCTCTCTCAGTGTTTATGTTGTAATGAAATGAATGCGAGAATTGATTCTCGAGAATATAAACATGAATTTCTCATAAAACACACATTTTATGTCATAAATAGCAACAGTTATTTATAAACATTTGCTCAATTTCATAAATATATGTTTTCTGTTTTCACCTATTATTTAATCACTCAATAATATTTGCCAACAGTATTGTATAATACTGTAAGTTATTTGGCATAGAATTTGAGAATATCTTAATAAAAAGTATTTTTAGCCCATTATGTCATAAAAGTGAATAAATAACGCAGAAATAGAGAAACATAATTGCAATTTATTTATACAAAAAAAAGTGTTTAACAAATTTCTAAATTCCAACCACACTTAGCATGACAACTTATATTCAGCTTAGTAATATTTAGCTCAAAAGGACTATGGTCAATAAAATGCTAGTGCCTAAAATAACATTATAAATTCTTTGGCTACACGTTTTATATGAATACTTATTATGCGAGTTCTGTGATATAAAATTCCCAATTCTTTAATCGTAACAAGGAGGTTTCATATTATTCAGATGCTTTTCAATTGCAATCTCACATATTAATAGTGACCACAACTGCCAATTCAGTGCATACCAGACCTCAACCAGACATGAAACCACTCTTTCTATACCTATTACTCGCTATCTATTCATTCAATGGATGCACTGCTCAGCGGAAAGAGTTTAAGGACGGCGTACGGGGAACGGGATGTCTCATCACAATCACACCTAAACTCACCAGAGATTGTTTGGACGCCTTTGACCAGGAGCTGGACCGCAGACCCAAAGATGAAAGGGATCAGAAGGTTAGTCCCAAATACCTTATATCATGTATTCTGTGAAGTGTTCCGAAAAGACGGTTACCGGGAAAGCCATATATGAATGCCTACTAATATATACCGATTGTATGGCACCGGTAGGCCCTGTGTTGCGCGTATTTGTCCCTCCAGTCGTGTGTACTGAAGCTGTCGGAGAAGGAGTGCGGAGAAGAGGGAGAACCGGTGGCCAAGAGTTTCCTCAAAGCCATCAACTCCGGCATCACTTCCGACGACTGCGTTGACTACGGACTCATGACATGCATTCAATTTTCCGATTTATTTACGATCGCACAGAACTCTACCACCACATCCACCCAACTGTCCACTTATGTCATACTATTGATAAGCAATTTTATTAGTATTTTTCTCGGGTTGTTAACTCATTTTTAAATGCCTTTTTGCTTGGCTTTTAATGCCATTATATTTTTTATAATATTAGTGAATGTTAGTCGATTGTACAGTACAATTTATAATCATACACTGTATTCGGTATTAGTGAATTGCCTTGGTCAACAATGCCAAACATTGCCAAATTTACTATATGGACCTTGCTTAATATGATCAGTCATTTGATGACTAGTGCCTTATTACCGTAATTGACATTTATTAATTAACACTATGCTTACACTGTATATCACATAGTATGCATTATTTGAACGTCTATGATGAATTGACTCTAAACACAATATTCAATATTCATATTGCAAAACAATTGCTTACATTTATTACAATTATAACAAACTTGTAATACAGGTATTGAGCATTAATGTAAGAATTTGATTAATAATTATTTCATTATAATTTTATATGTTTTAAAGCTCATCAACATATTTAATTTTTTAGGAGATATCGATAATTCTGTATTATTTCATAAAACAAAATAAATAACATTTAATAAGTAAATAGTCTTTTTAATAATAAAACATAATATTATTTTAAAATTATTTAATTTAGTAAATTGTTTAGTTTTGTTAAGTTCGCTTAAAATCTATTTTACAATTATAACAAACTTGTAATACAGGTATTGAGCATTAATGTAAGAATTTGATTAATAATTATTTCATTATAATTTTATATGTTTTAAAGCTCATCAACATATTTAATTTTTTAGGAGATATCG